CATGATCTAATTTCTGCTGAAGGATTTAACCCAGAACAAATTGTTCTCTTGTAGTAAATGAAGGAAAGTTACACCAGACTGTACCTACCATAGCTGTTGCTGTATCAGTGAAGCTGTGCCTTCTGAAAGTACAACACTATATTCATAATATTCACAAATTCAAGTATTTGAATGAGCTGTACAAATACTTGTATTTTTACTGTAAAGTGTCGGGCCACTCTTGGAACCCCCTACCATTTTGACAGCACCTAATCATAGAGCACAATTTTGGTGCATAAAGGAGCTCCAAGATGCAGTAGAGAGTTAAAGCAGACAATGAAGAAGCAGTGCTGAAATACTAGTGCTTGTGGCTGTTTAAATCACTGTCCATAAAGCAAATGCACAACATTGTTGAGCAACGGTATCTCATACAGATAGGTATTTTTGGGCTCCCTCATGATGCAAGCCTTCTCCTTTTAGCACATTTGAGAAACACCTCCTGTTCTTCCTGGGATAAGATTTTGCAAGATTTTTTTAAGAAGCATAACCCAAATTTCAGAGCTGTGGAGGACAGATGGCAGCAAACTCTTTTGTTTCCAAGCCACATCTGGCTCTCATTTGCATCTGTCTGGACTGCCTCGATGTTGGCTGCTTCACTAGACTGTCTCGTACCCAGGAGCTGTGCTGTGCCCAAGCGCCCAGAACAGCCCTACCTATTGTGCCCTACCTACCCTTGGTCTCATCATGTATCCTAGAGCCTTCCCTACATCTTCCTGATGAAAATATCCTGGGAAATGTTTGCTCAAAGCAGGTGAGAGATTCTTCCACCCCTGAGCACTGCTTCAGCACTGTGCCAGTCATCTAGCATGGGAGAAAATGTTTACTGCATTGCAAGATGTTTGACCAACATCCCCTGATGTGTCCCTGCCTGTTTGCCTATTTGCAGTGAGTGTATAAATATGCACAATCTCAGCAGCTTGGCAGATAGCCTCTCTGCATTTTAAGAAATGCTTCTTATATATGTTTCCATTTCCCAGCTTTCTTGTCTGAATTCCTCAGTATAGTATTTAATGAATACCTTAATTTTCATCTTAAAAAGGAAAGCCAGAAACATCAAAGCTACCACTTTTCCTGTTTTAGATAAAATATGCTGACATTTCACCCAAGAGGGAGGATTTTTAGTAGATCATAGCATTCTTGTCTCTAAATATGTCTTTTAAAAAATCTCATTGATGCTTTCCAGTTTCAGATTCATGCTATTAATAGGTTAAAAAAAAAAAAAGCTTCTACAAGAGGGAAACCATGTGATATTGCAGCTTAAGTATTTCATATAAACAGAGACTAAAACAGAAGCTGTACAAAATATTTTGTGTACAGCAGTTGTACTGAAGGGACTGGCTTCTCCATGTGTGAGCATAGCATGAAGACTCTGTAAAAGCGCATTGAAAAAAGCCTGGATTTTGTCTGTCCTCCTGTAGCAAGTGAGGAGTGACTGCTAACTGAATGTCTTCGGTGCTGTCCAAGCACCACTTCATCAAAGGCTTTATTAGAGCTGCTGGAGCTGTGTCTGAAACACGTTTAAAACAGAGAAAACTGCCTTTATCTTTAGAGTGTGTTCTTTAGAAACTTGGGAGTTTTTTTCCAACTGAGTATCACTCTGGATTTCAGATTCAAGACTGTCGCTAAATATGATACATGCAGCAACATAATTCCTCATCCTACTGGTCCACATTTCAAAGAAAAGACAGCCATTTGCAGAAAAGCAGTCAACCTTCACAAGTCTTTGCACTACATCTAGTCCAGCAGGTACCTGCTAAGCTGTGCTACTGAGACTTTTAAAATGCCAAAGCACAGGTTGTTAAATGCTCAGCACCTTAAGAACTGTAAACCCAGCTTTGGCTCTCTCCCTTTGCTTCTTGGTACATGTGATGAGTTTGCAGTCCTCAACAACACAGTGAGTCTGAATGAGCTGATGAAAATTCTGGCCTGTAATCAGCTCATTTGAACAGGAAAGAAAAGATGCCACAGAAAAATTTCATTACCAGCCCATGAATCATAGAATCATAGAATAGATTGGGTTGGAAAAGACCTCCAAGATCATCAAGTCCAACCCCTGATCCAACTCCAATTACTATAGCATGGCACTAAGGGTCACATCCAATCTCTTTTTAAAAACCTCCAGGGATGGTGAATCCACCACCTCTCTGGGTAGGCTGTTCCAATGCTTGATTACCCTCTCTGTAAAGAATTTCTTCCTAACATCTAACCTAAACCTCCCCTGGCAGAGCTTGAGCCCATGTTCCCTTGTCCTATTGTTGGTTGCCTGGGAGAAGAGACCAACCCCCACCTGGCTATAACCTCCCTTCAGGTAGTTGAAGAGAGTGATGAGGTCACCTCTAAGCCTTCTCTTCTCCA